GGGCAGTGGGGGCGGGGCGCGGGGGGGCTCGTGCGGGGCCGTGGGCGCCGTGCCAGAATGCCCCGCCCCAGAGGTCCTGGTGCCCCCCTGTGCCCCTCCCAGCGGGCGGATCCCCCCTGGGGAGCGCCCCGTGCCAGCTCGGGCTGTGCTAACTTGGTCCGCTTTGCGCCAGGGGGACGGCGATGAGGAGAAGCGGCATCAGCAGCTCCTGGAGGCTGTCAGCTCCCTCGCTGGAAGGAAGCGGTGAGTGTTAGGGAAGCGCTTGCCCGCCCCCCAAGGCTCGGCTGTGGGGGGCTCTTAGGTGGGCGGATCCCCCCTGGGGAGCGCCCCGTGCCAGCTCGGGCTGTGCTAACTTGGTCCGCTTTGCGCCAGGGGGACGGCGATGAGGAGAAGCGGCATCAGCAGCTCCTGGAGGCTGTCAGCTCCCTCGCTGGAAGGAAGCGGTGAGTGTTAGGGAAGCGCTTGCCCGCCCCCCAAGGCTCGGCTGTGGGGGGCTCTTAGGTGCACTCATGTCCAGGCTCCCTTGGCTCTCCTCATGTGCTCAGGGCAGCAGCAGCCAAGCCCCCTCCGTGTCTGGGAGGCAGCTTGCGCCCCATGCGCCCATCACAGCCATAGAACAAGGCTCCTCCAGTCTGACCCCCTGCCAGGACGCAGGAATGGGTTCCCCTGCACTGGACTGCTTGCTGCAACGGGGGGCTGCTCCTGGGCTGCACACAAGGGGTCTCCATGCCTCCCGCCTCCTCTCTTCCAGGCGGAAGCTGGCGGAGCGCTCCGAGGCGAGCGTGCAGGTGTCCGAATTCAATCTCAGCTGTGAAGGTGAGCTGCTGCTAGGGCTGTGTTGGGCCTCCTCCGAGCGGTGTCTGCAGCTGCCACGCAGGGCTCCCCAGGCATAACTGGGTCACTTCTTCCCTCTTCCCCCGCCGAGCGTGGGCAGCTGCGCTGGGCTGCCAGCGGCGAGGGTGCAGGAAGCCAGCAGATGGTTCCCTCTTGGTGCCCTCTGCTGGGAGCTCGGACATCCTGCCTGTGCTGGTTCCCACAGGCGCCGGGGAGAGGCTGGTCCTGCCTGAGCTGCTGGGCTCCATCCGGGCCTCGTCCTCCCTGAGCACCGTGAAGAAGCAGTTGAATCGAGTCAAGCAGAAGAAGTCTGTGGAGCTGCCACTCAGCAAAGAGGAGTCGGAGCGGGTGAGCGGGCGTGCGGGGTGGGGGGCAGGGCGGGAGTGGGGACTGGAGCCAGGGGTGGCTGTGGCGATAAGCAGTGTCCGTCTGTCAGGCGAGTGCCGCTTCCCCGCTGGGCTACTTGCTGGCTTTCCTTTCTAGGCCGCCCTCAGGGCCTGGCCTCTTCGCAGGCCTGGGCCTGTTCTGTGCTCACAGGCTCTCCCTGGGGCTGCAGGTTGTGCGGGAGGCTGCCTACAGCAAGACGTCGAAGGCCGTGGCCAAGTGGGAGCAGGTGGTGCTGCAGAACCGACGGGCGGAGCAGCTGGTTTTCCCCCTGAAGCAGGAGCGGGGGGGCGCTGCGCCCATCGAGGAGGTGCTGACTGGTTGGAAGGTGGGTGCTGCGGCGTGGGGAGGGGGGCTGCAGCCTGGCACAGTGGGCAGGCCCTTTTGGGAGGGCTGGTGGCAGAGAAGTCTTTGGGCTTCTGAACACCAGGGGAGCCAGCCTTGCTCTGGACTGAGCTTCAGGCATCCAGCTGAGAGCCTGGGCCGGGGGGGGGCAGGGCCAGCTTGTACCTGTGCTCCCAGACTAGCTCAGCAGGACCATGGCAAGCCATGCAGCTTCCAGGGGAAGGCTGTGTCAGGCTGAGCCACGCTGAGCCGACACCCCCACGGCCTGCCCCACATTGGCGCTGAAGCACCGCGCCCTGCAGCATGGCCAGGAATGCACGGGGAGACATGGCCCCCCAAGCTCTGTGAGCTTGCTCTCTGCCCCCCAGATCTGAACAGCCTCCTTCCTCTCAACCTTCCCAGGCCCAAAGGGATTCCAAGTGGTCCAGGGGCCTTGCTCAGGGAGGACAGGGCAGCTCAGAGCCCCTGCAGCTCCCTTCTCTCCCTGCTACATTCCTGACCCCAGCCAGGTTCCTGACACCAGGTTCTCGGCGCTTGCTGAAGTGAGCGGGAGCTGCCTTGGTAGCGTCCCCTGCCCCCCAGCTCTGCCTCCCCACCCCCACCCAAGGGCCACATCCAAGTGGTCCAGGGGCCTTGCTCAGGGAGGACAGGGCAGCTCAGAGCCCCTGCAGCTCCCTTCTCTCCCTGCTACATTCCTGACCCCAGCCAGGTTCCTGACACCAGGTTCTCGGCGCTTGCTGAAGTGAGCGGGAGCTGCCTTGGTAGCGTCCCCTGCCCCCCAGCTCTGCCTCCCCACCCCCACCCAAGGGCCACATTGCTGCTCTTTCCTTCAGGCTCCGTTTCTCATGTGCCTTTGCCGTTGGGACTGCGGCCCAGTGC